ATCCAACAATGAAAAGCAATTTGAGGGTTGACATGAACACGTTAGTATTCATGCGAGCGCCATCATCATGAGTCGGGAAACGTGTGTTCAGTGTTGCTTTGGTTTTCTTTTGTATCTTCATGACATTTTTGTACCATGGACACTGTCCCAGCCTTTCCGCCTTTCCCCACTGTGGCCACCTCTCCCTCGTCTTGCTGCCAGCTTTGTTTCTAGACACACATTTTCTAAGCTCACACACCTACAGCAGTTCCCCAGGCTCGGGCACTATTCTCTCATCTCATCCTCACTACAACACTATGGAATAGATACAACAGTGTCCTTCTTTCCATTTTGTAGATGAAGAAACTGAGGCACAGAACAGTTCAGTCATTTACCCAAGATGACACAGCCAGGAATTGGCTATCTCGCTGCAAATGGCCAGTTGGAGCCCAGGTGGTCCAACTCCAAGCCCAGTGTTCACAACACCCATGTTTTCACATCAACAGAATAAAATCCAATCCCTCCACCGAGCAGTCAAATATCTGTGCGCCTTTCTTGGTGCAGCCCGTTCAATGCAGTACTCGCCATAAATAAGTGTTGATTGAATGACTGGCTATGCGAATGAATGAACAGTCAGTTCTGATTTCATTCAATCATAGTCCTTATGTTCAATGTCCAGGAGGGGCCGTGGGGGGAAAATTTCAGCTTCTGCCCAAGAAGTCTAATCTCTGAACATGACACTAGGCAACAAGGAAATCAGGCAAGAACTTGTTAGGTTAATTACTCAGCCCCTCACTGTCAGCAAGGGCATCCAAGCAAGCCGGCACTAATAGGTCTGCATCCTACACGGGCTGTAAGCCACAGTGGGCATGGGGGGAGTGGGGAAGGGAGAGGAGCTGGAAATAGGCTGCTGAAATATGGCTCCCCAATGCAGGAAACAAATGCCTTACAATTATACCCTCTTGTTGCCTGGAAAAAATTTGCCAAATCTATCACAGGACAATCCTATTGGCAGAAGTCCTGGTGCCATGAGCAAAATCAATTGCTTTATATAAATGATGGCTGCAGGTGGAAGAGAGTAAAAACCCAACCTTCACTCATAGCATGCTTTACAGGAGACAAATCACTTACACATAACCTCCGACACAATCACGGGTTCTGCGGCTTTATTATTGTCCCCATTTGGCTGATGAGAAAACTGACATGCAAAGATGATGAGTAACATACCCAAAACCACACAACAGAGCGATGACAGCAACCCAAGCCTCCTCTCCCCAAGTCCAGCCCAACTCAGACCAAGAATCCAAGCTGAGGAGTGGAGACGCTGAAGAAGAGCTGGGAAATGGCTGGCACCAGGGCCCTGTGTCAAGGTCTCTGCAGGCTAAGGCATTCACTCCATCAGCAATAATGGTTCTGGATGGGGCCTCTCCTTCCTCATCATCCCCCTCCCCCTTAACATTTAAATGGATGAACTTTAGGCAAAGCAGATTGCCCTCCATAATGTGCCTTTCATCCAAGCAGGTGAAGACCTGAACAGAACACAAAGGCTCCTTGAGCAAGGGGGAATCTCCAGCAGACTGCCGTGGAACTGTGCAGTACCCACTCCAGTGAGAGCTGTGTCAGCTCTCCTGGGTCTCTAGCCTGCCGCCCACACCACAGATTCTGGACTTTGAGGTTTCCCCAATCATATGAACCAATTCCCTATTATATATACACTAGAAGCCCAGCACACAAAATCACGCAGCCCCGCCCACCCGTGCCGGTCTTTGGTCATTACGGCGTTAGGGCCACTAGGTTTTTATAATATAGACTAGAGGCCCAATGCATGAAATTCATGCAAGAGTAGGCCTTCGCAGCCCCAGCTTCATCTGGAAGGTCATTCAGAAGGTTGTCCAGAAGGTCGTCCGGACGGTCGTTCCACTGTTCTGCCGTTCGGTCAATTTGCATATTACACTTTTATTATAGATATACATAATTTGCATACACATACACTTATACATGCTATTGGCTCTGTCCTGGAGAGCCCTGACTAACCCAGGGCCCAGCTGCAGGATGGAGAGCTGTGGGAGCAGATCTCCGCAGATGACGAAGGCTCTCCAGGGAACCGAGCAGGCACTGGGAGCAGGAGTTGCATGCGGTGAGCTTGTGGAGGGCAGTTCTGAAGTGCATGTGCTTCAAGGGATGATGGCGGGCTGCTTGACTTGAGTGAAAATGTTTGCTTAGGGAGAACTCACATTCCTAGCTCTACAGGGAGAAAGAGTATCTTATTCCTGGAAATTCTCTAATAGGTAAGGAAAGGGTAGTATAAAGCTAACTTTGGTTATGAAAATCCCACCAGGTAACACAATGGACAAGTAATTTTTATCACTTTAACCCCTTAAAATAGGGCAGGACTCACGTTCTGACAGAGAAAGAACTTCCCAGTTGCCGTTCGTGTGGAAGAGGCCAGTGGCACCAGCGTGCTTTTATTCTAGCAGAACCTGGGGCCATAAAGGTCTTCATGACAGAGCAAAGGAAAAGTAGAACTTCCTATTTGTGTTTTTTTTTAATATATTTTTTATTGTTGATAGGATTACAGATATCTCCCATTTCCCCCTTTTATCCCCCTCCTCCCAGCCTCTCCCCACCCACCCATGTCTTTATCACCCTATTGCCATAGCCTATGTCCATGGGCTATGCATATCTATAATAATAAGAATGTAATATGCTAATTAGACCAGACATGCTTCCGATGACCTTCCGGACGAAGCTGGGGCTGCAAGGGAAGCCCAGGTCCCGGGTGCCGGAGGGAAGCCAGTGCCAGCAGCCGGGGAAGGAAGGCCTACTCTTGCACGAATATCGTGCACTGGGCCTCTAGTAAGTATATAATTTCTTTGGTTAATCTGTTCTTGTTCTCCCAGCCTCACACTGAGATATGTCAGTCTGTTCCATGCCTACCTGCTCTGGGTATTATTTTGTTGGTCAATTCATTTTGTGCATTAGATTCCACAAATAAGTGAGATCCAGTGATATTTGCCTTTCTCAATTTGGCTTATTTCACTGAGCATAACTTATTTGTTTTAGATATGTAATTTCAGCAAACATATCCATTAAAACACACAATCTCTTCATCAGCTGCACGAAAGTTTATTTTTAAACAGATAGTCAAAATATTTAAGCCATAACCCTATCAGGGCTGAAGCTGGGTCGTCCATTACAGAGCTACAGGTTTACATTCACTCTTACCAAAATGTCTACAGCATTGCAGTCTTTATTTGGAGAATATTTTTTATGTCGATAATGGAAAGCATACAAGTCCATTTACATTTCACTTTTATCATCAAAGTAGCTTTCAAAGAAGTTTCTAGGCTCAAAATATACCAGGCAGGTATTAGCCAAGGTTAAATTTTATTTATTTTTACTTATATTTTTAATATATTTTTATGGATTTCAGAGAGAAAAGGAAAGGGGGAGAGAGAGAGAGAGAGAGAGAGAGAGAGAGAGAGAGAGAGAGAGAGAGAGAGAGAGAGAGAGAGAGAGAGAGAGAGAGAGAGAGAGAGAGAGAGAGAGAGAGAGAGAGAGAGAGAGAGAGAGAGAGAGAGAGAGAGAGAGAGAGAGAGAGAGAGAGAGAGAGAGAGAGAGAGAGAGAGAGAGAGAGAGAGAGAGAGAGAGAGAGAGAGAGAGAGAGAGAGAGAAATATCAATGATGAGAGAGAATCATTGATCGGCTGCCTCCTGCACACTCCCCACTGGGGGGGTCGAGCCCCAACCCAGGCATGTGCCCTGACCAGGAATTGAGCCATGACCTCCTGGTTCATAGGTCAACATTCAACCACTGAGTGACACCAACCGGGCTAAGGTAAAATTTTAAAAGTATTATTTCTATAATGAAAATCTTACATCTAAAATGAAAGACTAATAAAAGAGTGCTGACTTATTCTATAAATTTTAATCTACTCAAGAAAAACTATTTTAGTGGCGTAATCTATATATATAAAGCCTAAGCAACCAATGGACTGAACAACCGGTCGCTATGATGCACACTGACCACCAAGGGACAGATGCTCAATGTAGGAGCTGCCTCCTGGTGGTCAGTGCGCTCCCACAGCCAACCTCCCACGGCCGGCCCCGATTGTGCACAAATTCGTGCACCAGGCCTCTAGTTTTTAAATAACCACATGAGACCATAACAATTAAACTTACCTTGCCTATCACTTAGGATGTTTTCAGCTGCAAATATGAGAAAAGACAACTAAAATGTGCTTAAACCATTCGGGTATGTCTTTCGCTTAACAAAACCTCTTGAGGTAGGTGGCTCTGAGCAGAGCTCTTTCCTTCTTTTTGCTCGGCCACCCATGGTCGTTGGCGACCATCCCTTAGTGATTGCAAAATGGCTGCGACAGCTGCAAACAACACATCATCACACAAGGATAGCCAAAGTAGGAATGTTGGGGCAGGAGAGGTGACAAGTACATACCCTCCTATGCCTCTCTCTTTTTTCAGAGAGGATGACTATCTCTCCCAGAAGCCTCCAGCTGGCTTCCCATTACCTCTCATGGGCCAGAACAAAGTCACTTGCTCACCTCTCACCCAATTTGTACCAAATGGGAATAGGACTGCCTTGATTAGCTAGCATTTTAGTCAGGTGCCTGAACAAGTGGGCTTCTGTCACCAAGGAAGAAAGTAGAGTAGGCAATCAAGAGTGCCTCCCAAATATGGGTATAGAATAATAGCTCTAATTGCTGAGTATTTTTAGTATTAGGTACCTTGTTGCGTACTGTATATGCATCAGGTCATTTCATTCTCACCAGTGAGAGGCCACTGTTAACTCCATTTTCCAGATGAGGAAAGTGAGGCACAGAGAGGTCAGATAGTTTCTCCCAGGACTACACCTGGTAAATGGCAAGTATCCATTTCCCAACAGTTTAAATAGGGTTTCATCCAGATATCCAACCCCACAGCCTACAAAGTCTTGGCTTGAGTGGCTACAACATTTTTACGCAGAAAAGACAACTGAGGTACCTAGAAAATTCATGTTGGGAGGTAATACAGTACAAGGAGAAAAGTGGTCAAGTCCTTCAGATTTCCAAGGAAAAGCGTTTTATTTCACATATCTTTATTGCATTATGCTGAGAAGGAAGGAAAAGTATTCCAGGTATTGCAAACTTAAAATGATCCTTTTAAAATGTCTTTCATTTATTGCTAAAAAAAAAAAAAAAAAAAAAGTTTAATGTTGTAAAAGCCACTTATGTTGCCAACACCAGGATAAAAGTGTTTATTAATCATTTCACATATTTCATTATAATATACGTATATACATTTTACTATGTTTTACTCCAAGCCTTTTTCTTTATTTTCCATAGTCTTCCTGAACATCATTTGGGACAGTTAGAAAATATTCTAATTTTATTTATCCATTGTAGGCCATCTGCATTTCTTTCTAATTTTTGTATCAGAAATAACAACACAATAAATGTCTTTTTCTTATAGCTTTCTTCTTCTTCCGGAGTTTTCCTCTAGAATAAATTCTAAGTGGGATAAGGTGGTTGAAGGACCTGACCATTTGTATAACTTTTTCTGTCCATTGCCAATGTGATTTCCAAAAGAACAGAGCTATTAACACTGCTGCCAGAAAAATAAGAATTTACTCATTTTCTGAGGTCACATAAGCTTAGGTTTATTTATATCCATGTTAACTTAACAGCCATTAAATGGCTTCTCATTAGTGTTTTGACTGCCATTCCTTTGATGCGGAGTGGAACACTTCTCTATAGGCCAGTACTTCCTCCTATGAAAAATCTGTTGTTATTCTTTGCCCGTTAATCTTCCGGGGACTTAGTGCTGTTGTGAATTTAAATATTTCAAAACAAAGTTGGTTTAATTTCATTTCTGCAGACTGTATGCAGACTAAACGATCAGTTTGTCTAGACTTACTCTTGGGCGGACCCAAATTCCAACTCATTTCCCAACCTCCTAAATTTCAATAACTGAGGCATAAATGTCAATCTTAGCTATAAAAATATGAACAAGAATGTTTCCACTGCTCAATTTTCCCCCAAAATAAATATTAAGATTACTATGCTCAAAAATTCTGAGAGTAATAACATTTACATATCGGTCTTTGTTTTCACGGTCAACTACACAAGGATTATTCTTTCACTGTGCGATATTAAGAGTTTTTTTGTGTTTTTATCCTGAAATTGCTAGGTAGGTGCAAAATCAGAGGTGAAGAAGACAGTATCTTCAGATTTTATTTTGCTTATACCGTTGACTCCTCAAAAACAACATATAGCCCAGCAGGTGTGGCTCAGTGGTTGAGCGTAGACATACCAACCAGGAGATCACAGTTCGATTCCGGTCAGGGCACATGCCCGGGTTGTGGGCTCGATCCCAACTAGGGGGCGTGCAGGAGGCAGCTGATCGATGTTTCTCTCTCATCAATGTTTCTAACTCTCTATCCCTCTCCCTTCCTCTCTGTAAAAAATCAATAAAATATATTTTAAAAATATGTATATTTAAAAGAAAAAATACGTATTTTTTTAAAACCCAAATATATATAAAACAACAAACTCTTTAATCTTTTATCAAAAAAGAAAAGGCGTAATACATTGTTGGCATACTTTTTTAGACTTCACAACTCGCTCTCCTGTTACCTAAATATTTATCCCCAAACCAAAATCCCTAAGAGAGGCTTTTAAAAATAGAGATTCCTGCCCCAGGTCTCACAAACCAAAATCTCGTGGCTACAGCCTGATCATCGATTGCTTTTCAAATACTTCCCAAGTTTTCACATAGTTTGGCTTCATAATTCTCATTTTAAACTAAATCTTCAGAACCATAAGGCTAATATTTATATTCGCTTTTAAACCCTGCTGAGCAAAAGCTCTGTGTTTCCTTCTGTCGTGCTCCGAACAGAGCTCTTAAAAAGCAACTGATACCTTTAATCTTTTACCTAAAAAAGAGCAAAGGCAACGCTTATCGCCCTCATTTATCTGCAGGTGTTCCCCAAAGACAAGTAGTCACGCATCCTTAGTCCTGTTACAAAGTGGTTTTGGTCATGGTTGTTTGTTTGCTTAGAAATGACCAATCCCTCTTGGATGAGGATGGTGCAACTATGAGTAATTTTATTTTCCCAAATAACTGCTCTGAGGAAGTTATTTTTATCCTTCAGGTAAAATTGAAAGGGGATTTAAAAAAACAAACAAACAGGTAGCATTCTCAATTTATCTGAGATAAATTCTTGTCACTGCCTTGCATTATTAGAATCTTATTCTAAGATGTCAATGAGCACAGTGGAAAGTCTATTAACGTATCCAATCATGTCCATATCCACATTATTCTATTACTACATATTACCTACACGCATATATACACTCATGCACACAGTAAGTCCTCACTCAACATCGATACGGAATTGGAACTGAGGTGAAGCAACGTGTAAGGAACTGAACTTTACCAGCGGCTCATTGAGATAAACAAGTTACGTTCCATCTCATCGACGTTATAAAGAAACAGCGTTGAACAAAACGATGTTATTCAGGTACCTACTGTATTCCACATAAGCAATAAACATAGTGGGTAGTTGAATAATGTCTCAATAATGTTGATTCCTGCATTATTCTATTAATGTGAGCTATTCCATATATAGTCCATATATATATATTCCACACACATAATACACACACATACACACGTGGAATAAAAATATTAAAAAGAAACTTGGCCAGAACCGGTTTGGCTCAGTGGATAGAGGATGTTCATTTATGGAGGTAGAGGCCTCGTAAGTCGAGTCTTTACTAACTCTCCGGAGAATTTCCGCGCAGGCACTGAAATCACAGAAAAGCAGTGCGGCAGCGGCCTGACTGGGTGGGGAAAAGGCACTGTGGTCAGAGCTGTACCTTCTCTTTGTCGCCCCGGAAAGGGAACGCGCCCCAGAAAGGGAAGGCGCCCAGTGCAAAGCCGCTGCGAGGAGACTGAGCATCGAGCATTGCTGTGCGGTCAACAAGTGGGGTAACTATGCAGAACACTGTGGCCCCCAGAACTGGCTAAATCTCACTCTGGAAACAACATTAATAGCCAGTCCAGGGCTCCTGGGAGGGCTACGTGAATGTTTCTTGGCTGTACCCCACCCCCAGAGGGTGGTATTGCACACCCAGCTCTGACACAGGCGGCAAATCTTCTGGCCTCAGTAACTTACACCAGCTTCAGGGTCAACTTCCACCTCCCATCTGCAATGGGCCAGACTCTCGGTGCTTCTGGAACTCCCCCACCCCCACCCCCACCCCCAGCCGCAGAGGAGCGATTCCACATGCAAAGTTAAACTGATTTCCCTTGAGGCTACATTAGCAATTCTTGCCCGTGTCCCATCGGAGCCCCTACTGGACGGATGTATTTGCTTTCACATCAACATCAACGTTTCTTCTAAAACTACAAGGAAATGGGTACTCCAGGAGGCAGTGCCAGGCGGCTCACAGCACTTCCCATACCTAGGGAGGTGCACCAGTAATGCACAGGGCTCCAATTGCTCCATCTCCTGACCAACACTGCTTTCTGTTTCTCAGGGAACAGCCATGCTAACGGGTATAAAGTGGTATCGCATTGTGGTTTTGTCTTGCATTTTCCTGATGATTAGTGATTGTTCCACTTTCTTTTACATGGTGTTTCAAAATATGTCTTCTTGTTTTGTTTCAGTATCCCTTTCTGTAGGGAAGACATCACTGCTCTAGGGAGACACCCATGAAAGGCCCTGGGAACTGAAGAACTTCCCACACACTAAAACCAAGAAGCCAGCGTTTCCGTGCTCTGGATCACAACCAGGCACCAAAACCGTGGGACCCGGACATAAAAGATATTGCTAAAGATGTCCTCCCGGTTCTTGAAGACTAGGGAAGGCAGCCTTCCACACAGTCCTGCGGAAGACTCAATACTGTGAGTGTTTACTGTCCAAGGAGTTTCACCAGATTAACAAGGGAGTGAAAAGCAGGACGGCCCCAGGGTTCTGGGATGTGAGGGTGTCCATTGTCAGGCACCCTTCCTGCCTGAGGCCTTCGGTGATGAGCTCCTGCTCACACAGACACACAGGTGTGCTCCCATGGGCACACCTGCATTCCCGGCACCTCCCAGCTGCACAAGGAGAACGCACACACAGCAACGGATTCAACCTCCTCACTATAAAAGTAGTTTCATAAACCGAAGAAGCAAGGACAAACAGGCACTTAAGAGACTTGGGAGTTAGAAGTCCAGCTTTGAGCCCTGGCCAGTGTGCTCAGTAGTTAGAGTATCAGCCCATGCACCAAGGGGTCTTGGGCTCAATTCCCAGTCAAGGGCACATACCCCTGGTCAGGCACATGAGAGAGGCAACTGGTCGATGTGTCTCTCTCACATCGATGTTTCTCTCGCTCTCCCTTCCACTCTCTGAAGAGTAATGGGAAAAGTATTCTCTGGCGAGGATTAACAACAACCAAGTCCAGCTTTGAACTAGCCCTGGGTTGCTCTTTTCTAGTCCACCAAGATTTCCCAAACTCCTGCAAAAAACCTCTCTTTACCTTCTCCATCTACCCAGATCTAACCCTCCTTAGGCTACTAGTACCTGAAAACACTGCTCTTCCAAATCTTTGTTCTTCCTTTTTCACTGTTAACTCTCCTTTAGTTCACAGTCATTAATTCAACAGGGGTAAGTCTATGTCCCGGGGCTGAGCCAGCAGGAGAACTCACCATGGCGGTGTAGTCTGCCTTCTCTAGTCCTTACTTCATCTAAACCCCGCCCCCCCCCAAGTACCTCCTGGGGCTTAGAGCTGCCCTTTGCTCATCTATTAACAGACCCCCTCGCTCTAACTCATTAAAAATAATGTGGCACCATGAAGAGAGAGGCCGCACTGCCTTATATGACCTTGAACAAAATCACTCGCCTCGGAGGCCTCCCTGAAAAACGGCAATAATACCTTTCCTGGAAGCAGAGCCCTGAATCAAACAATCTTCTAAAGGGAAATTCATCACAGGCTTTCTTGCTAACCAAAAAAAAAGACAACTTTTTCTAAAACGTTTGCCCTAAGTCTTTATGCCAAAGATGACGCTTTGATGCCGGTGGGTGGTCGATACCCTGTGTGTTCAGTAGTCAGTCATTCCTGATGCGTCTCCTAAGGTCCAATGACAACGAGGGACCTAGAGACTCTGAGACTTGTCACTGCCAAGCAAAAGACCCAAACAGTGCTGGAGACACAAGATATACAAGCTTCCATATTGGACAAGAAACCGGGCCTGCTAACTCTTCCCACA